TGAGCAGCTTTGTTCTGCCATAGGATCCCACTGTGGTGTACTGTGGGCCTCCCCTACCAGGACCACCACCATCAGAGGCCTGAAAGAAATGTATATGCTGACCACAGGCAGGACATTCCAAACTGTGATTCCCTCATTAATCTCTCTCCTTTATATGCTAATTTTCCTAAGGCAGTTGTTATCATAATGGGAAGCTGACTGACACAGCAACAGAAGCAGAAATACCCAGGCAGGAGACAGTGAGTCCATTTGCTTAGAAAAAAATCATTTCATTTGCCTGAAGCACTGAGGGCTAAGAGGAAGAATTTGAGGACCTAATGGAGCCATTTTTCTAAAAACATCGATAGAAAATATTTCAAGTAATGTCTGCCACACTGAGAAATGAGTGAACCAGCAGTGATAAGATGGCTAGATAGCACTTTTAATATGCTATAATATTGTCATCTGGAAGATAACATAGTGAAAAGAATTTCACTGTAGAAACCCAGAGACATATTCATGTGTGCGTGAAAAACAGAAAAGTGAACTTCTAAAGTGAGAGGAAAAGTCAAAGAAGGTAACACTGGCACCTAAAAGGAGTTGAAGTTCATAGATTCATAGACTACTTTTAACACCTAGAGATTAGACATGGCATAGAAAGGTATTTTGAGGGCCTAAGAAATGCTTCCATCCATTTATCCATCCATCCATCCATCTATCTATCCATCCATCCATCCATTCACTCAAGAAATGCTTTGTGAGCAATTAATTCCTGCTTACACCTTAAACACCACAAACATTACTGTGAACAAGATTTTAAAAAATGCCCTAGCTCCCCTATGACCCAGCAATCCCACTTCTGGACATTTACCCAAATGACCACAAACAAGGCCATATTAAAGCTACCAGCACAGCTATGTTTTTTTATTTTTTTAATTTTTAATAAGTTTTTTTAATTGGGAAAATACCATAGAGAGGGGTTACAATTACATGAGCAAGGTATGAGTACATTTCTTATCAAGCATTGTTGCCTCCTCCTTTGTTTCCCCTTCCCATCCCTTCCCATCTCCCCTCCCCCCACCAAAGTTGTAAATTTGTTTTTCGAAATAACGTCTATGTTTACTAAAGCATTATTTACCATAGCTAAGATATGGAACCAACCCAGATGTTCCTCAGTAGATGAATGGATCAAGAAACTGTGGTGTGTGTGTGTGTGTGTGTGTGTGTACATATTAATATATATGAATTCTATGCTTCTATCAGAAAGAATCATACCACCCCATTTGTTAGGAAATAGAAAGACTTGAAAAAAATCATATTAAGTGAAGTAAGCCAGACTCAAAGAAACATAGGTCCCATGGTTTCTCTCATTTGCAATAATTAGTATATGTCTAGGATAATTTTATCAGATGAGCAGAAAAGCTCAAAAGCTACAAACATATGACTATATATGATGATGCTAAATGAAGTGAACCCAAAGATATGGACACAAGAGGTCTTTCTTTGTTGTTGTTGTTTTTAATGTACTATGTGATTTTTTTGTTTCCTTTGTATGTTCTTCCCACTATGGTATATCCCTGTTGTCAGTGTACTTGATTTTGGTACCCTGCATCTTGTATATACATTTAACTAATTTGGGGCAGGGAAGGGGAATAACAAAACGCTGAAACAAGGACACAGGATGAGCCATTGCAACAAGGATACTCACAAGACACTACTATGTTGGAAATGAGCTTTACAACTTTGGGGAGGGGAGGAGTGAGGGAAGTGGGGGAGGGAAGGGATAGTGGGAGAAAAACAAAGGAGGAGGTAACAATGCTCGACAAGAAATGAACTCGTTACCTTACTCATGTAACTGTAGCCCCTCTGCACAGCATCTTTACAATAAAATAAAAATTAAAAACAAACATTTCGTTATGTGGAAAAACGAACTTTACAACTTTGGTGGGGGGTGAGGGGAGGATGGGAAGGGATGGTAAGGGGAAACAAAGGAGGAGGCTACAATGCTTGATAAGAAATGTACTCATTAGCTTGCCCATGTAACTGTAACCCCTCTGTACAGTATTTTCACAATAAAAATAAAAATGCCCTGCTTTCTTGAGTTCAGTCTTTAACAGAGCACAGTCAAGATACATAACGTACTATGTTATCCTAATGGCAACTGCTTAATTCCTCCCTTTCTTCCTCTCTCCCTCCTTCCCACTCTCCCTTCCTTTTGCGGTACGAGAGTTTGAACTCAGGGCCTCAGATTTCTAGGTAGTTGCTCTACCAATTGAGCCATATCCACCAGCCCCTTTTAAGCTTTTGTTATTTTTTTTAACAGGGTCTTGGGCTTTTGCCTGGATTGACCTATGCTTCCTGCATTGTTACGTTATAGGCATGTAACACCATGCCAGGTTTTAGGGGTTTTTTTTTCTTTTCTTTAAAAAACCATAGCCAAGAGTAGCAGAGAAAAAAAGAGTGCTGATTCCCTCCCACTATAACTCTGGCCTTCTGAATTCTATTTTAGCAACTTGAAAGGGACAAATTGTCTGAAGAAAGAGAAAATTCTAAGTCTTTAACAGACCATAACAAAAATAGCGAGAAATAATTATTTCTAAGAAAATGAAATTACTTTTATCAGCATACACTGAATGGCTTTCCCAATTGTCCCTTGTAAGTCTCTAATAGCATTAGTTTCAGAACACACAATTCCTGACAATAGACAATACAACCGAAAAAATTAGTCTCCTGTGTACAAAATAACACTTTTATAACAACGGGAAATTCGTGCCTGCTCTCTCTAGACCTCCACTGCAGTGAATACTAGTGCAGGCTAATTACATGAGCTAGCTGAAAATTGTGTGTGTAATGGAAAGGCAGCCCCCTAAAGAACAGCAGAGAGAAGGTCTTGCCATCAACTACAAAACAACAGGGAAAAGCAAGAGAGCAAGCAAGAGAGCATGCGTACTCATTAGCATACTGCAGTAACCACTGTGGCTGGTGCATACAAAAAAGTAGTCAACTTCTTTGATTAGAGAATTTCCCCCAATGCTGATTCATTGTTTTGCCATGATCTGTGGCTATTGATCATGCTTGTGTTTTGAGGATGATTGTCATTTGGGGGAATCAAAGAAATGGCTCATGTCAGTGAGAGGCAGAAAACAACGTTCAGCCACTGAGGTGTGTATTGCAGGGGTTTACAGGTTTCTGGAGGCATCCCAGAGCAAGGAGAAATTTCCCCCAGTTATCCTTTCTCAGGCATCCTCACACTATCGGCCTGATATATAAAATGTGGTGCAAAAAAGGTTTGGAATTAAGGCCCTTGGGTAAAGTTTGAAGCCTTGTCACACCTCCACACCCAACAAACAATAAAAAAACAACTAAAAGAGAAACCCTGGGTGCCGTTCAATCAGATGTGAAGTGTCATCAACAAAGCATGAGCTACTTCAAGTCCAGACATTTTATTACGAGAGGAAAGAGTATATGTGCCAATATTCCAGCTGATCTTCAGAACCCCGGGGTCTCTGTGAGACATATAGGGGCTCAAATTGTGATGTGATATGTGTGTGTGTGTGTGTGTGTGTGTGTGTGTGTGTGTGTGTGTGTGTGTGTGTGTGAGATTAGAGTTTGAATTAAGAGCCTGGAGCTTGCTAAGTGAGTGCTCTACCATCTGAGCCATACTTTTAGTTTACTTTTCACATAAGGTCTTGCTAAAGTTTGCCTGATTGGCCTCAGATCAAGACCTTCCTACCTGCTCCTTCCATGGAGCTGGGATGACAGACAGGACCCATGGCACTTAGCCTCACATTGTGTAACGTAAGAAGACCTTGGAGTCTCGCTGAGTAGAGTGGCCTACACCTCTTATCTGAGCAGTTGGGAATCCCAGCACTGAGGCAGGAATATCTTATGTTTGAAGCCAGTTTAGGCCACGTAGTGAGATTCTGGTAGACCTGGCCTAAAACCAAAGTGGGGTCTGTGAGGTCGATTTTTCATCACATAACATTTTGCTCTTATATTCAACAAGATGCACAGTGTATGGGTCATTCTTCAGAAAGATCTGGATCCCAGATCATGTAAATTCTGGCTTAGCCAGGAATCATATCAGTCTGTAAGAATCAGATCAGTCTGCAAAGGACAATCAATAGAGAAGAAAAAGTCCTAAGTCTGTGTACCCAGAGGTTCCGTTGAACAGCAAGCAGGTCAGACCAGGTTACTTAGCTTGCTTTCTTGTCTTCCAAGTCAACCTCCCACAACCCCACAGATTTACAGACAGCTGATTTAAGTCCTTCCTCCCACAAGTAACATTTTTACAATCAAAAGAGGAAAATGTGTGCACATTTATGTACATGAGAGACTCAGAGAGAGAAGAGAGAGAGAGAGAGAGAATACAGAGAAAAACTTTTCAGGTTTTTCTTATAGAGCTATAATCCCACAGTCCTATGCACATCCTTTGTCTAGCATGGCTAGTCTCTTCTCCTATCAGCTTCAACCCAAACAGGACTCTTCATATCAGAATCTCAGGTCACAGAGTCTCTTCCATGTGGGATGCACAAAGCTTTCGGATTTCTTTCTCCTTTGTTAAAGAGGAGGATGCACTGGATTCTTTGAGGTACAATATGGTAAACAGAGGTAGGGATGTGGGGAACAGCCACAATTAGGACCAAAGGCAAATTGTAACTGAAATTTTGTGGGAAAAAAATTTCTAAAATAGAGTCCAGAACACTTATCAGATTCGATTCTCAAAAGGATTGGAGAGCCTCTTTTAAAACCTAGCCCATAAAACCACACAGCATTTTTAATAAAAGTGGATCCAGGAACAGATAAGCTAAGCCTCCCCCTCCCCCCCCACCCCTCCCCCCACACTGTATCACCAGGGAGGTCCAGCTCTGGGTTGTTGGTCTCCGATTGCCAATAGAAGCTTCTACAAGCTCAGCGTCAAGGCTGAGGGAGGAGAAATCTTCTTTCAAAAATGATCTAGAGAATACAGAGTACTGAACATTTCTTTCCTAATAAAATTACATGTGAAGAGTGGGACTTACCGCTTTGTTTTGTTAGATAAAGACTTGAAGCCATACTTCAGACTTTTGCACATCTCTGTCAGTCGGAGTGACTTCTCATTTAGATATGTGCTGGTTCATGGAAAAGACATTTTAAAAAGAGAGAGAGAGAGAGAAAGAGATTGACTTACAATGAAAGCTCATACGATATCATTAGCCAACATCAGATTTAATTGATAATAACGTCTGGTTTTCATTCATTTATTGGATATCTCCCTAGAAGAAAAAGGAAATTGATAGTTTCACCTCTGACAGGTCTAAATTATTTTTTTAAAAAGCACCTTACACTACAAAGCCAAACTGAAAAGAAATCTATGCTGACAACACTCTATTTCCAGATTTTCCTATTTTGAAGTTCGTATTTAAAATGGACAGATTGTTGGATAGTTTTCACCTGAGTGCATGTAAATAACCTCTATTTTTTTTTTTAGAAGTGTTGTCTTAGCTAGGAAGCATGCAGACACAGGGAGTAATATTTTCTCTATAAACAACACAGACAGAGCTGACCTTTGATTAATATACCAATTGTGACATAAAGGCCTGGCGCCATTGCTTCATGAACTTAGGAAACTGGAGGTGAAACAAAACCCAAAGAAGAAGCAGTTGAAGAGACAGACACCAGTGGCTCGTGACTATAATCCTAGCAACTCAGGAGGCGACATCCAGAGGATCACAGTTCAGAGAGAGCCCAGGAAGAAAAGTCTGTTGAGACTTCATCTCCAATATAACTAGCAGAAAAAATGGGGCTGGAGGCATAGTTCAAGTGGCAGAGTGCTAACCATAAAAAGCAAGTGGAGGGCTTGGTAGAACGCCAGCCAATGAGCAAAAGCATCAAGTATGGAGTTTGAGTCCCAGTCTCGGACAAAAATACAAAACAACAACAATGACAACAACAAGTTAAGTGAAGGCAAAGCACTGATTTCAAACCTCAGTACCAGAATAAAAAGGAATGGTAACTCCTTTGTACAACGACTTAATACTAACAATAATTAACAAACCCAAAAAAGCACTTTAAGGATGTAATTTATGGAGTTATGAGCATAATGGCACACTGGACATAGGCATGTTCTTTATATATTTCCACATCTCTAACATTCCTTGTCTCACAGTGTGACTGTCATGATACATGCTGGAAAAAACATTGTAAAAGAATCGAGTACCATGTCTTAATATAGTAGGTGCTCAATAATACCAACTCTCACTTTCTGTAGGCTTTACCAATAGGCACTATTTTTACTGTAGATGCATTTATTTAGTCATTCAGAAGGAATCTGTTGGGCATCTCACAGGAGCTGGATTTGTTTGGAATCAAATCGGAGCTGCATTTGTTCAGAATCTTATCTGGGCACAGGATATTTAGGACAGGGAGGTAGAGACAATAGTCATGGCAATTTAAGTTAGGGAAGAAGATATTTAGCAAACAAATAGCCATACAAACAGGAAAACAGGGTAAGTGACACACACATACACACACACACACACACACACACACACACACACACGCACCCACGCACACACAAACAAATATTACAGACTCATACCCGTAATCCTAGCTACAGATGCAGTTGATAGGACCGCTCTGCCTCCAAAATTGAATGAGTCAATCCATCATAAATATTTCTCTATATCTTTATTTCTATTCCCTATGAGTTCTATTCCTCTAGAAAACTCTAATACAGGGATCCAAATTAATTTAGTCATATGTTCGTTTAGACATCTAGCTTTCAATAATTACTGTCAGGAGAACAAAGTACTGGCAGGTCTGGAAGTAAGATGGGACACTGGCCAGAAACTGTTTACATGCCCAAGATTAAGCAATCTGAGCTGGACACCAGTGGCTTATGCTTGTAACCCTAGCCATTCAGGATGCTGAGAGATGACAGGGTTCAAAGCCAGTCCAGGCAAAAATGTCCACGAGACTCATCTCCAACGAGTCTCCAAAAAGCTGGAAGTAGAGCTGCAGCTCAAAGTGATAAAGCACTAGCCTTGAGAAGAAAACAAAAAGGCTCAGGGACAGTGTCCCTGCTCCCCTGCCCCAAGTTCAAGCCCGAGGACAGGTTCGCGCGCGCGCGCACACATACACACACACACACACACACACACACACACACACACACACACACAAGCAATCTTCCTATGTGCACAGAGAGAAGACCTGGATACAGATGTGTTCTGGAAACTGCACCACACCCGTTTTCGTTAGCAAGTAATAAAGTGGACAGCTTTGAGAGGGACAAGACGTTGTAGTACATTACATCCTGTAATGCAGAAAGAGAGGGAGGTGACAATATAAAGCTAGAAAGAAGACGGCCTCATAATTAATTCTCTGCTATTTCTCAGAAATACTCTCTAAATATATGGATGCAGATCCCAGTGAGTTTACCAATCCCTCTTAATTCTGGTACAATTTCTCTGCCCCATTACGTCCTTCCTCTTTCTCTCTCTTGCTGTCTATATGTCTCTGATCTACTGTGCTTTCTGAATATATTACCATACTTTCCAAGGATTTGTTTATTCCTAATGAACAAATTATTCAGGCAGCATTGTTAATGAAGTGAATTACCAAGCTAGCATTGCTTTGAATTATGGTGGCTTTGTGATATTGAATTCTGACACTTGACAACCAGGCACCAATACAATTGTGTCTCACATATCTTTCCTTGAATTGGAGAGATTCTTTATTAACATAACCTCAAAATAGGTTTGCCAATTAAAAATCAGAGATGGCCAGGTGCTGGTGGTGGATGTATATATAAATATCTAACAGAGAGAGAGAGACAGAGAGACAGAGAGAGAGAGAGAGACAGAGAGAGAGAGAGAGAGAGGATGACACTGCATGAAAGGAAGTGCATACATTACCTAACTTATGTAACTGTAATCCCTTTGTATATCACCTCTATCATAATAAAAATATAAAAGTATATTAATACCTGACACAGATGTCAACCAACCAATGTTGTGCTCTCTTTCTCCTAACCTGGTATGGTAGTCCTTCTTCAACGGTCCCATTGTTACTACCACAGGGACTGGAAACTTCTCACACCTCCCTGGAGTCACTCAACAAAGAAAGGATCTGACAGGAGAGCCAGTTTAGGCAGTTTCTTTGCTTTCTGTGCCTCTCCTGCCTCCTTTCATCCCAGTTTTCTTCCTTTTCATTTGAGGCATATGAAATTGCTTTGGAAAAAAGGAAATAAGAAACCTTCTCAGTTAGGAGGAGAGAGAAGGTGGAACTTGCCAATGGGTTCTATTTGAGAAGCCGACTAGTCAAAGGGGACAAAGAGAGACACCGATGGAGACAAAAGTAGGAATTCCAAAGACTCAGAATCAGAAACTATCGGGAGGAATAAGAGATTGCGGAGAGACCAGTGTGGGCTACTTCATTACCATAGGAAGGACTATGGGGGATCAAGTCAGAATGGCCCATCCTGAAGGACTAGAGGTATCAGGGAGGACTTGAAATGGTCCCCAGGAAAATCACACGACAGCTTGCTGTGGGGAGTCTATTTTTAGGGAGAAGTTCAAGATAGGGATGGAAAAATAATCTCACCTAAAACTAACTCCAAGTTGATGGTCCTAGCAGTTGGTGGAGGGAGGGAAACAAAAGAGGGCTCAAGGTGTCTCAACCACGCAAAACCCTCTGCCAGACTCTATAGACTCAAACCAAGAATTTAGTTTCTGTTAGCTCCAAGAACTTTTTTGGGGTACATTTTGGCTCCATTCCATTTTTCTGGTGAAAAATTTTTTTTTCTAAAAATCTTATCAAAATTAGCTGTAACATTCAGTCATGAATCAACTGAGACCTGGGCTTTTCCTTGTGGGAAAATTGTTGATTACTTCCCTCAATCTCATTGCATGTATGGGCATAAATGGTTTATATCTTCTTGGCTCAGCCTACGCAGGTTGTGTGTATGTGTGTGTGTGTGTGTGTGTGTGTGTGTGTGTGTGTGTTTGTCAGTCATGGGGCTTGAACTCTGGGTCTGGATGCTGTCCCTGAGCTCTTCTGCTCAAAATAGTGCTCTACCACTTGAGCCACAGTGCCACTTCTAGTTTTCTGGTGGTTAATTGGAGATAAGAGTCTCACAGACATTACTGCCCGGGCTGGCTTTGAACTGTGATCCTCAAATCTCAGCCTCTTGAGTAGCTAGGATTACAGGTGTGAGCCACCAGCACCCGGCTTGGCAGTTTGTTTGTCTCTATAAATGTATCCATTTCCACTTGATTTTCCACTCTATTTGAGTATGTTTTTAAAATAGTCCATAAGGTTTTGGATTTCTTGGCTGTTTGTTGTAATGGTTCCGTTGGCATCTCTGATTTTGTTGATCTGAATTTCTTCTCTTCTTTTCTTCATCAATTTAGCCAGTGGTCTGTCAATTTTGTTAATTTTTTTCCCTAAAGAATCAGCTTTTTGTTCTGTTGACTTTATGTATAGTTTTTTTTTGTCTCTATGTCATTGGTTTCTGTCCTAATCTTTACTATCTCTCTATGGCTAGTAGTTTGGAGTTCAGTTTGTTCTTGTTTTGCTAGCACCTTTAGTTGCATCATAAGGTTATTTACTTGCACTGTTTCTGTTTTCTTTATGTGGGCACTTAGAGCTATGAACTTTTCCCTCAAACTGCTTTTGCAGTATCCTAGAGGCTCCAGTACGATGTGTTTTCATGTTCATTGACTTGTAAGAAATTTCTGATTTCCTCCTTTACTTCTCAGTGACCCAGAAGTTGTTCAGCAGTATGTTGTTCAGTCTCCATGTGTTTGTGTGTTTTCTGCAGTATGCTTTGTTATTGAGAACTAGTTTAATTCCACTATGATCAGATTGGATGTAAGGAGTTCTCACAATCCTTTTGTATTTGCTCACTCTTGCGTGTCCTAAGATAAGGTTAATTTCAAAGAATGTCCTATGGGCTGCTGGGAAGAATGTGAATTGTGTGACTATTGGATGAAATACTCTGTAGATGTCTATCAAGTCCATTGGATTAAGATGTCACTTAATTAAAAAGCTTCTTGCTGATTTTTGTTTGGTTGACCTGTCCTTTGGTGAGAGTGGAGTGTTAAAGTCTCCCACTATTATGTTGTTT